AACTACTTTGGTTTCCTTTCCAGTACATACGGACTTTTTTGTGTGGTGTGGTGGGTTGGGGGAGGGGTGAAAAAGAGGGGGGGGGGAGTGGGGGGATTGTGGTTGTCAATACTGGCTTTTCCGCCGACATCTTTGGAGTGGTGAGTGGATTGACAGACGTTTTCCTCCATCATTTGATGAATGAAGAGGTCTCATTATACGTCAAAAGTAGAGACGACCGGATTTCGTCTTCGGCTTCGGTTTCGGCGACGAAAGTGGCCATTTTATCACTTATTTTAGCAATATTTAACAACACACTAAGTGACATTTAAGAACAAACTAAACGATCTTTAAGATCAAATTAAGCGATCTTTAAGAACAAACTAAACGATCTTTAAAAACAATTAAAGTGATCTTTAAAAACAAACAAAGCGATCTTTAATAAAAAACTAAACGATCTTAAAGAACAAAGTAAGCGATTTTTAAGAACGAACTAAGTGATCTTTAAGAACAAAACAAATGATCTTTAATAGTAAACTAAATGATTTATAAGAATAAACTAAGCGATCTTTAACAGAAAACTAAATGTTATTTAGGAACAAACTAATCGGTCTTAAGGAACAAAATCAATTATCTATCAGAACAAAATAAGTGATCTTTATGAAAAAAACTAAGCGATCTTCAACAACAAAATAAGCGATCTTTAAGAACAAACTAAACCATTTTTAATAACAAACTAAAAGATCTATACATACAAACTAAATGATGTTTAAGAACAAACTGAATGATCTTTAAGAACAACAAAGCGATATTTAAGAATAAAATCTATTATTTTTAAGAACAAACTTAGCCATCTTAATAAACAAACTAAACGATCTTTTAATAACACAAACTTAGTGATCTTTAAGAAAAAAACTTAGCAATCTTTTTTGAACAAACTAAATGATCTTTAATAACAAATTAAAAGATCTTTACACACAAACTGAGCGATCTTTAAGAACAAGCTAAGCGATCTTAAAAAAACAAAATAAATGATTTTTAACAACAAAAAAAAGCTATCTTTATGAACAAACTAACCGATCTTTAAAAACAAATAAAGCGATCATTAACAAAAAACTGAACGATCTTTAACAACAAACTAAGCGATCTTTAAGAACAAACTAAACAATCTTTAACAACAAGATGTTATATTAGATGTTAATTTATTATTATTCACGATTATCTCCTTTTTTTATAAAAAGCATGTACATTTTTATACTTTCTCCTATCATTTTCAATTTACCGGTATGCAGAATGTGTGCGGGAACGAATTTCAAAATATCTAAATATTTCATTTTCGGTTTCGGCTTTGGTTTCGGCCGAAATTCATTTTTAACTTTCGGTATTTTTTCGGTTTCGGCCGAAAGTCATTTTAAACTTTCGGTCGGTCTCTAGTCAAAAGTGTTCACACGTAAATGCATGTTGTAGAGAGTCTTCATACTCCAGTTCTGCTCTCTGATAATTTTGTTCCAATGATGGAACTTGTAATACTCTGCCACTCGCATTGCAACAATCAGGTGGCAGACAACTGGTCGATGGTTATAGCCTCTGATCTTTACTTCTCCGCTTTTATGATTCACTCTAACGTCTCTGCTAATGTGATCCACTCTCACGTCTCTGCTACTGTGATCCACTCTCGCGTCTTTGCTACTGTGATCCACTCTCGCCTCGCTGCTACTATGATAAACTCTCACGTCTCTGCTATTATGATGCACTATCTCGTCTCTTCTACTCAACTCTGTCTGTCGTGGCTCTCTGTCTCTCTAAACGTCCAAGTCCATCAGTCAACTGCTCGGGTCTCCTCTGATGGTACTCCCCTGAATTGCCTCTGCTGCTGTCCAGCTGAATTCTCCCCGATTGTCCTCTACTGATGTCCAACTGAGTTCTCTTCTGAATTTCCTCTACTGATGTCCAATTGAGTTCTCTACTGAATGTCCTCTACTGCTGTCCGGCTGAGTTCTCCACTGTACTGTTTAAGAACGAGCCATACACTTAAATAAGAGAGTTATTTCTCCATACTGATAACAGTACGTAACAATAACATTTTGCTATCGTGGTATGGTAGTTAATTTGTACTTTACTACGTCACTAGTGGGAGGGGGGCAGGGGAGAACTCAGTCGGACATCAGTAGAGGAAATTTAGGGGATAACTCAGCCGGACAGCCGTACAGGACATTCAGGGAAGAACTCAGTCAGATAGAATTAGAGGACATTCGGGGAGAAATAAGCCGGACAGAATTAGAGGACATTCGGGGAGAAATAAGCCGGACAGAATTAGAGGACATTCAGGGGAGAACTCAGCCGGACAGCAGTACAGGACATTCAGGGGAGAACTCAGTCAAACAGAATTAGAGGACATTCAGGGGAAAACACAGCCAGGCAGCAGTACAGGACATTCAGGGGAGAACTCAGCCGGACAGCAGTACAGGACATTCAGGGGAGAACTCAGTCAAACAGAAGTAGAGGACATTCAGGGGAAAACACAGCCGGGCAGCAGTAAATTTATCATCCTTCAAAATAAATAAATAATTAATTAATTAAAAACAATAACTACGGCAACAAAATACAGCTACACATCAATTGACAAAACATTGTTGACACATTCGTTCTAGCTCGAGATGCGTCACCAACAGAGTAGCAGAGTGAATGCACACCAATCATTCGGAGTTACTGTCATCAACATAAATGAATGAACATGAATGACACGTCAAACCAGTGCGGTACAGAATACGCCCCCCCCCCCCCAAAACAAAAAAACAAAAAAAAAACAAGACAAAAACAAATAAAAACAACAACTTTGTTTAAATCTCTGAAAGTATAAATTCATAAAATAAATTATTTATCTCACCACCGTCCACCACAGATGTTTTATTATAATAGTGAAAATTTACGCCATTACATGCACAGTGATTATTTCCATCATTTAACTTTTTTTTTGGTTTTTTGTTTATTCAACGTGTGCAAATTGGCCACTAGCCGAGATGGATTTCTCAGGAACCCCATGCTGAAAGGACCTGGCAGAAACCGTTCGTGGCACAGGAGGGAGGTAAAGAAATATGTCAATGTTTCTCTTCTTTGTTAAGAAATAGACATCTCACGTCGTAATCGGTACAAGCAAATAAAATTGCCCAAGTAAGGGGTCGTTCGTAAATTACGTCACATTCAGGGGGAGGGGGTGGGTCGAGAATTTCTGACACTTTGTGACCGGGGGGGGGGGAGATGGGTTACGTCACGATTAAAAACAAATATTTAAATATAAAATTGTCTAATTTTGAAAAATCTTTATTAAAGTAATTTTTAAAAAAACCCATTAATTTGAGATCGAAATCGAAAAATGACGCAAAAACTGCTGTGGCCATTTTACATTCGGCTTGTGGATGACCTCATTGCATTGCGTCACAGTTTTATAATAACACTACATCTTTATCCATGGGAGAATGTTAAAGAATAAAATATTAGTTTAGTTATGAAAATTGTATGTATCTTTTGAATTTTCAAGTGCGACGTGACACTAAAAGGGGGGGNCAGTCTAAAAAGGTCACTTTTTGCGTGACACCAGGTAGTCACCCAAATTGACTGAATTACCTTGAATCTCTTTTGTTCGTAACACGTTTGTTCCTATTTTTTTCTTTTTTTTAATTAAAATATATTTTAAAAAAAATGTTTTGAATCGTGCACGTTAAACTAAACATATAAAATTAAATTATCGTCTCATTGGAGATGGTGTCGGTGGGTGGTCGAACGTGAGCTCTTAATACCCCTCCCGGCACTCTCCCATATGGGCCGAATTCAGGTTTCCCCGCCGCCAGATCGTGCGGAAGCATGCCGGAAACCTTCCCACTGGTCCGGTCGACTGAAAACGCTGCGTTTAAAGCGTTCGCGGTCCACTCTCCTTGGGTCTGAATGGCTTTGCTTCCTCTCTGGAGGAAAGGCGTTGCGTTACCTCCCCCCCTACACCCTAGGGAGTTGATAAAATTAAATTAAATGATTTGATTGAATTCTGAGACTAGCAAACACTGTCAAAAAAAAATGGTGGATGTTTTAAAAATTTAAATTTTTCATAATTCTTCTAATAGCCCAATTCTCTACGAACTAAGAGTCTTTTATATAAAATCGTTTTAACAAAACAACATTTCAATTGAAAACTAATTTAATGGCAAGTTTTGTTTGAACAATTTGAATCGTTTCTGGAAAATTGGACGCATCTGCACATTCTAAAAACACAATTTTGTTCTAAAAGCTTGTCTCTCTTGTGACAGGGTCAGATCTAGACACTTACAATATGATTTTATGAATGCCTGTAATGGTAGCAACAGAAACTTACACACACAGACACGGTCAGACACAGACAGACACAAGCAAAGAGACACACAAATACACACAGACAGACACGGAGAGAAACACAGACGCACACACAGAGACATACATAGACAGAAACATACATACCAACGGAGATAGACATATAGAGACACACATGGACAGACAGACATGCATACACACAGATGCACACACTTACACGTGGACACAGAGAGACACACAGACGCAGACACTTACATATACACATTCACACACAAACATAAACAGATAAATACAGACATACACAGAGACATACACATAGAGCCACGCACATACACACATACATACACACAGACTTAAACACACATACACAGACTTACACACACACATATATAAATCTTCATGGTTTCCTTTTCTATCTGTTACTTTGCATATTTAACAGCACGACTGGCACAGCGTAGCGACGTCAGGGGACTTAAACCCACCAATTGAATATGAGAACACATACAAACTCAAACCGGATGGAATGTTTGTACCGGAAAGGGTCAAGGCCATTATAAAAACAGTGTTACAAGAGAACCTCCATGACCAAATCTACCACAAGCAGCTGATGGGAAGCAGATGTTTAGTGCTTAGCGATATCATCAAAGTAATTATACACTTACTATTTTGTTGTTAAAACTTTCTCATAATAAGGGAACTTTTAATACTCTTACCACAAAGGTCTGTTTTTTAAAAAAAAAAAAAAATTGTGTGGGTGGGGGGTTAAGGTGGTGGTAGCTTAGGGTGACCAAACGTCCCGATCGTAGCCGGTGTCCGGAAAAAGTCTCTCGGGACGCCTACGTGTCCCGTTTCTAAAACCAAAGACATTTTCAAATCACCAAAACTTCATAATTGATAACTTCAAGTAATATTTTGGCTAGTTGTGTAGCCAGTGCCAGTAGTGATGTGGGCTCGCGTGATGGCTGCATTAAGTTTGTTTAATTGTATCTTTATGTTGTAAAATATGTATAAATCAGGTTAAAATTATTGTTTTCGTTTATGACATGCCTCAGAGTTTCAATTAAATTACAAAAGTAAAGGTTAATTTAAACAAGATTTCTAGGTCTTAAAATTGTTAAAATGAGCATATTTCAATAAACAGTTTCCGGCGGAGGCCCCCGGACCTCTGTTTAGCTTGAGGATATCCCCCCCCCCCAACCCTAATTGGGTGTGTCCCGTTTTTTCCAGCTCATGATTTGGTCACCCTATCTGGTAGCTAGGCTAGACATTACTGTGCGGTGTCAGAAATTCACTTTCACACTGTTTCATTTCATACTGTATTTCATTTCTCGTTCACCGCCAACAAAAGTAACTAAACTTCTGGAGTCACAAGTCATAGACAAATCATGGGACGATGAATCGTTGCAATAACAATTATTGGGAGTTCAAAAATTGTTTTGACTTCTCTGTTGGTGTGCTCCGAAGTTGTAACACAGAGTTTGAAAAAATGAAGATGTGATTGATTACGCGTCATAGTTTGGCGATACGGTTATATATATAAAAAAAATCTAAACAGAGTTAAGTAGAGCATAATTAAATATGAAAGAAGTGCAAATTAAAACAGTCGTACTCATTTAAAAAAACCTGCTGGAACGAATGCTTCAAATAGGATGACACGGTGAACATAACGTTAAAACACTCGTACTCATAAAACCTGTTGGAACAAATGCTTCAAATAGGATGGCACGGTGAACATAACGTTAAAACACTCGTACTCATAAAACCTGCTGGAACGAATGCTTCAAATAGGATGACACGGTGAACATAACGTTAAAACACTCGTACTCATAAAAATTTGCTGGAACTAATGCTTTAAATATAGGATGATACAGTGTATGTTAGGTGGGGGACTGCCGACGAAAGCATCCTCTTCATATCGAATTAAGACAACCCCCCCCCCCCCAACCATACTACAATAGAGGGAAGGATCAGGCGGTAAACAATGTGATACAAAAGGGAGTATCACGGTTAAATAAGTTACATATTTTCAATATAGGTGGGGGACTGCCGACGAAAGCATCCCCTTCATATCGAATTAAGCCAACCCCCCCCCCCAACCATACTACAATAGAGGGAAGGATCAGGCGGTAAACAATGTGATACAAAAGGGAGTATCACGGTTAAATAAGTTACATATTTTCAATTTATCCATTTATTCTTTTAATTTATGTTATATTTATCAATATATTTTTAAATTTATAAAACCATCTACCCAACTCCCCCTGTGACGTACTACTGTACCAGGATAACAAAATGTTATGAACAATTTGACGCCATTTCAGGAGAAAGTGCGACAACTCAATCTAGCAAGATTCAAAATTGTGAGCGTCGTTCTGCTTGGCGAGAAAAAGAACCAGTCCATGATGGTGTCCTCCCGCTGTCTGTGGGACTCAAGCTGTGATAACTTTGCTACGTGCGAATACTCCCAAGGAAACATCTGCGCCGTCGGCATGGTCTTTGCTGTTTACCAGGAATAATAAAAACAAGAAACAGAAAATTAAATGGTCTTTAAGTTACCGTTAAAGAAATATAATTTTTTTTCATTAAAAAAAAATTGGAGTCTCTTGCACAAATTGACATGGACACCACAAACGACCCAGGATATTTTTGAGTGTTTATTTCAGTGCATATTACAAAATACAAAAGAACTCGTCTTTTAAATGCTATGAAGTTGCCATTCTGTATTGTTTAATATCTTAAAGGTTTACCGATGACATAACGAGATATGTGTGTCTTGCTTTAAAAAAAAGTAACAAACAACAAAAACCTTCTTTTTACATGTTTAATCCTTAAGGCCATTTTGTGACTTGAAGAGTTTCACACCAGCTGTTTATATAAAACAATATTAGTGAATCGTGTAGAGTCGTTGCACGCGTGACGTTTAAAACAAAAAATTCTATTAAGTCCTCACATAATTGGTTACATAATTTTGTACAACAATATTTATTGAACAAATATATTTTTCTCCCTTAAAAATTAAAAATTAAAAACAAATCTGGAACAGTTGAGGCCTAGGGTTGGCTTTGTTAAACGTACGCCCTATTTTTTTTCTTTTCCAAGCACACAGAGATCCATCCTTTCCATTGCTCACCAGACCCATCCACCCAAACACTGGAATATTGCATTCACTTTTTGAGACCGAGTTAGTGCTCTTTTGAGGCCCCGGCAAGTTCATTTCAGGCCTGCCGCATCTATTGGGCATTGCTGTAGATCAAAACTATCAACATGGTTGGCTGCCATGCCACTCGTTACCGTCTGGCACTCTGCTAGAAAGTGCTCGACTGTCTCCGGCGTTTGTCCACAGTGACGGCAGCTTGGCTCCCGTAGCGGATGTAACCTATTCAGGTAGCTCCGGGTAGGGCAATGCTCTGTTCTCATTTGTGTTATGAGACTGGTGATTGCACTTAAGACGCCACCCAAACACTAACACAATCGCTTATAAAAAATATTTTAAAAACCTCAATATTTATGATCTCTGATCGCTTTTCCTTCTTCTTATTTTGAGGGCCCACGATCAATGTTTTGACTGTTCTGGTTCCTTTGTTGGCAGAGAGGGTTCACAAATATTTCTGTGCATAGTCTTACAGAGGATATTTCACTGGCTGCAAGGGCTACTTTGCGATGATATCAAGAACTGGGGGTTGGAAGGTAGAAGGCAATAGACGCAAATGTGTCTAGTTTTAATTATCAATATAATCTGATCTTGCAGTGGAAAAAAAAAAAAATAATTTTTTTTCACATAAAATGCCAAACTTTAATAAATGTTTTCCCATGATATATTTTTACCGAAGTAATTGAGTTAAAATGGTTAAACTAGCTTTCGAAAAGTTGATATACGATCTTATTCTTGGATACAACTGCCTCAGATTTTGAATTAAAAATTTGAAGATAATTAAATACGTTCAGACTTGTCAGCTAAATTTGGTGTGCATTATACTTTATATGACGAATCGGATAATTTTGGACAGTTTTAACGCACAATTTATATGTGCATTATTTCTGTACAATGTATACCTCACAAATGTTAAATCCTGGAAATTAGATAACCACTACATTTTTTGGATACCCCACCCCGATGCGTACGTGCAAGGAGCTTTAGACCCCCCCCCCTCGTCCCCGAAAAATAAATAAATGATTTATATATAATTAGGGGTCTAGAACGTAACAAAAAGATGTTTTTTTAAAAATGTGTCCCAGGTTTACACCGCCGCCAGCCCAGTGGTTCCCATAATATACGATGCGTTGCTCTGTGTGCAACGTTGCCCTCGGACAAAGCCATGAGAATCCGACAAAGAGAGCAGTCGCAAAGGGTGGGTGCCAAAATCGTTTTTAGATAAAACCTTAATAGTGAATTAAAATATAAATCACATATACTCCAGAGAGGCAAGATGCACATAAAATCGTTCTTTTTACTGAAAAAACCCACAAACCCACCCCCCCCCAAAAAAAAAAAAAAAAAAAAACAAAAAAAAAAAACAAAAAAAACAAACAAACAAAACAACAACAACATAAGCTTACGCCAAATCAACAACCCCATCAGTGCGTACGTACTATATGGATACCCTTTTATTGAGCTCTCCATAACTCTGAAGTTCTCCTTCCTTTGGACTTGAGGTTCTAATGTCATGACCTGATATCATCTCGCAGAACTTCCGTTTTAATATTCGTTGAGCTCAATATTTTTTCCTGGTAATTTTAATATGCAGCGCCACATTTAAATAACTTTTCTTAAAAAAAATAAAAAAATACGGTTATTATTTAAAAATTTAAATATTTTAATACATAACATACATATTCGTACACAGTTACACACAATTGAGACAAATACATGCTAACACACATACTCAACTGCCAGACCGTTCAGACGCACCCACACAGCCAAATAAACCCCACCTGATTTCTATATCTTAAGGGCCCAGCAGGCACGTACCTCACCCCACAGAAGCCGGTCAGACTGATCATAGCAAAACGCTCACTGAGCACTGACTTCACCACTGACATTCCCATAAACAATTACACCAGAAACAATAGCAAATCCTTCAAAGTGCCTCAGTGCAACACAGTGCAGTTTCAACAATCTTTCTTCCCACGCACAATAGTAGCATGGAACCATCTGAACGATGCCACTGTGAACTCGACATCGGTCGAAAGCTTCAAGGCTGCCCTGGCATCAGCTAGGCGCTGTTAGAATAGCAACATCATATCCCCAACCGTTGCAAAGATGCCAGTACATGGATGCAGCAATGAAACATTACCAGAACCAGAACCAGAAGCACAAGCGTCTACATAATAATTTTGACACAACCTTAAAGAGAGCGTAGGTAGAGTTGCAATAAAGTCCTTCTTGGTTTTAAAGTAAAACATCTACTATTTATAATTATCTCATTATAGATAGTATATATATATTAATTTGGCGCCCACTCACAGAGAATTAAACAAACGTTCCCCTACAAAACTCGGGAAACTTATTTTATGACATTAAGACTAACCCCCTGCCATAGTATTAAAGGACTCATTACTCATTACAGGTAAACTAATTAAAGTAAGAAAATATTGATTTAATTGCAGCACAAGTTACTTTGTGCGACTTGCCGATTTTGCATCCTACTTCAGTTGTCATGATTTGTCACAAACTCTAAGGGAGACAATTCTCAGAATGTCTTAAGAAATTTTTCTTACCAAAATGGTGTTTAAAAATTCCTATCATTGTGAAACAGCCACTAGATCATATTTGCCACTATCCCGAACTTTACGTAAAATCTTCATTAATATTGTGAGTCCCCATTTTTCACTTAAGGCTAAGAAGGAGGTGCCATTAAACATCGGGGGGGGGGGGGGGGGGGGGAAGGGGGTAAACAAATCTTCTGTTCACAATCTTCATTCTAATCTTCCGATCATAATTATTTTAAACATCTGTCTAAAATGTACTCATTTTTTATAATGATCATTTGAAGGGCAATAGTTATACTCCCATCATCCTGCCAGAAGGTGCTGACACTGTAATTATATACGCATAGGCCAGGGATAACTATTACTATTAGTACTATTACTACTATCAATACAATAATAATAATAAATACAAGCCTATTTACTTTGACAAAAGAAAAATAAATATTGTCCTATTGTCATGAATGATACATTATTTTAATGAGCTAGTTATAAGCTTTATAAAAACATCAATTTCACTTGTCTATTTTTTTTATAGAAGTGGAGTTATGAATTGTTTGGTGATTTTTAAAAAAAAAAAACCCTTTCTTTATCTTTGTATTTAGGTTACTTTTGCAGCAGTACTTCCACGTGGAACTATTACTTCGCCGAGACTTCTTAAACGTAAATTGTTAAACAAAAAATTAAAAATTTTACGTTTATTTTAAAGAAATCATAATTTTTTTTCATTTAACTAAAAATAAACTCAGAAACAAATTTAAAAATTAACTAAACATTCCTCCAAACTTTGGACCCCGTTGCAGCAGCAAGGGTTGTAGTGCCCATGTAATAGCTCAGACTGTGCCATAAAAAAACGTATTTATTAACTATAACATTAATAAATTTAATAGGGAAAATACTCACTGCCGTCACAGTTGGCAGCCCTGTAGGGGCCGTTTTTATTTCGGCTGGTACCATGCAGTTCCCTTGTCTGCCCACGCGGGACGCGCAATGGTGGTCTTGTTCCCTAGGTAACGTCAAGGGGGTCTGTTGGCCAACGCCTCCTGATCGGCAAGCCACCACAGGCTTGTCAACCGGAGCCCTGGGGGAGATCCCCGTTTTTTAAAAGATTCGATTAGTCTATAAATATGCAGAGAAAATTAAACTGTCTAACTCTAAGTCTAAGGATTCCAATTTGGATCAACGGCGCTGCAAATTATTATAAGAACAAATTACAAGGTTTCACGTGATTATTTACATTAGAAATATTTATTCAAAATACAAAATAATCTCACTCACCAACTCGGCCTAATTTCATTTGTTTAAAAAAAATATGATGACTTTCTTTGTGATAAATTAATTCCTTTGTAAATCGTCATATGCCAAGGTAATCGAGTAAATCACACGGGGCCCTGCCCACCCGGGGGACCCAATGACTAATGATTTTAAAAAAAAAGTACAATTAGGTTTGATACCATTAATTTCAAATTTATTGGGCCTACAATTTTGATGTTCTCTGTTCCTTAAAATCTTGGTCACGGCTCTAAACATTGGTAGCCCCTACGTTGAAACTTTTGAATAACGAAGCTTTAAAAAAAAAAGAATAATTAAAATGCGTTTTGCGGGTAAAGCTCAAAGTTTTCTGAGGGAAAAAAAATCTTATTTTCCCGTGCTTATCGCACGTGTCAAGCGTTGCCTTCAATATTGTGTGACGCCAACCAGAACAGTTCAACTTGATTACAACGGATAACACCATTCCAGCACACATTTTTTTGAAAGGAAAGCCTAAAACCTAGCTAGTTGTCAAAAGAGTCAAGAAATAATGAAAAATAATGGAATAAGGTCTGAATAAGACGAAGCAATCGTTATTTGACATTGGATTTGTTACGTCTTCGGATGCTTTAACAAGCAGTTTTTTTTTATGCAACCAGAAGATGCTCCAACTAGCTCTTTGATGCAACCAGAAGATGCTCCAAATTGCTCTTTGATGCAACCAGAAGATACTCTAACTAGCTCTTTGATGCAACCAGAAGATGCTCCAACTAACTCTTTGATGCAACCAGAAGGTGCTCCAACTAGCTTTGATGCAACCAGAAGATGCTCCAACTAGCTCTTTGATGCAACCAGAAGATGCTCCAAATAGCTCTTTGATGCAACCAGAAGATGCTCCAACTAGCTCTTTGATGCAACCAGAAGATGTTCCAACTAGCTCTTTGATGCAACCAGAAAATGCTCCAACTAGCTCTTTGATGCAACCAGAAGATGCTCCAACTAACTCTTTGATGCAACCAGAAGATGCTCCAACTAGCTCTTTGGTGCAACCAGAAGATGCTCCAAATAGCTCTTTGATGCAACCAGAAGATGCTCCAACTAGCTCTTTGATGCAACAGGAAGCAGGTAAAATGTGGAAGTTGTGACCAGTAGCAGTGGGTAGCATTGGGTAGTAGTAGACTTGACCTAGTTTGCTAAGGTGATCAAAATGGTGAAAACTGCTATTCCTTGTCAAAGCCGGTTGGATGCGTTCTGTTGCAGCCTTTCGACGTCGGGGAATTTCATATAGTTACATTTCCATTTGCTCAGCTTGAGAGTTTTGTTGAGGTAGGAAATATTTCTTTTCCAAGAGAGCTACCGAAAGTCGATGGAAACAATGCTTTCCCCATGTTAAGCTTACCAGGTTTTCTAGATGCCAAGTACGGACACAGCGGCTCACGGCAACAGAAGGCTTAGCGGGGATGGGTTTGGGGGGGGGGGCAGCTGGTGGTTGCTGTGCTCGACTTTTAATATTCTTGTGAACATCGTAAAACTGAGGACATGTTAGATCAATGTTATACTGCCATGGGGCAATCAAAATATCTCTCAGAATGGTTACTTTTAGCTGCAATTTCTCAGGCGTCCAAACATTGTTTACGTGAGAGAACCTCGTTCCACGTGTACATTTGTGCCGGGAAGGCTGAATAAAAACTCAAGCAGTAGTTGCGAATTTACTGAAGGTAAACCATTTGCTATGAAATGTTGAAATATATTTGTTCCCATCTTTGATCTACAGAAATGTTTTGCGAGTTCCACTCTTCCAGCTGAGCAGGTGACAAAAATTGTTCCACATAAATTAGCTCATCAAAGAGATCCCTTATCAACAATTTCCCCAGGGAAGATTTCATTTATATTGCTACGGGATTCAAGGAAAGGAATACTTTCAAAGTCACCCAAGAAAACATT